GCAGGAATGTGTTGTATTACGTGATGAGCTGTAGACAGGAAGAGAGACTTGTTCAAAAACAAATCCAACAAGTTTGGAAAGATAGATAGATATTCTGTGCAGTTCTGCAACTACTTTTCAAACATTGCGCTTCCTGCCCAGTACATCTAACACAGAAAAGCAGTTGAAGCAGAAATAAAACACTTTGTGGTTATTGGTTAACACAGATTAGCGAGGACAAGGGGGCACTTGGTTTGATCCAAGGCATCTCAATGCTAATGCAAACACAGCGGAATCGTTGTCACATGAGAATGAGATTGCACAGGGATCTAAATCAAGCTCACAAAACGATTAATTGTGCAGCCCTACTTTGAATACAGCTCCTCTACAGTTCACCTCCACGATGACACACTTCTTTACCATGAAAAATCACTACAGGCCTAACTTAACAATATATCATTTACTAAAATGAAACATCTGGTGAAAATAATTTAAATTCACTTGCTGTCTTGTAAACCATCATCCAAGCTGCATTCATTTATGCTATAGGTGAGGGACTGGGGGAAAAGCCTCGACTTTCATCCAGACCTCAACATCCCAAATGGTTCTGCATGATTCACTCACAATCCTCCGTACTTTTTTTTATCCAGCAGTGGAAATGTATTTAGTAAGATGTCCAATGTTTGCCCTGAATGACAACATTTGCTTGTTTCTAAACATTTTGAATTTAAACACTGTGTAGCTACTGTCCTTAACTGCTACAGACTAGGGCAGCATGCTTATATGTATGTCCAGAGAAGAGTGACACAGAATGAGAAAATGATCAATTCAAACATTTAGGCCTCTAGACTCTAGGCAAATTTACCTTATCACTCTCAAACAGATGCATGAAGATGACCAAAGTCCCTTTGAAGATGCAACTGGCTGCTTAATACTACTTATTTTGTTGCTGGTTTACTGGTTACTTGCCCTTTGCATGCACATTGAGAGCCGATGTACCATAGTCAAATTCCTTGTGTGTCCGACACACCTGGCCAATAAAGCAGAGTCTGATTCTGATGGATATCAAGTAGCAAGATACTCATCTCTGTACCCAACTACACAACCCTGTCGGTATACAAAACACACCTCATCAAAGCACCTCTCACGCCTCCCACTTACAGTGCTGCAAATGCCACAGCTAGTTCCTTGAAATATATAACAGAAACAATGACCTATGCCCTTCCAATGGGACATTAATATCAATTTATTCACAAAACCATAAGGTTGTTTTAATGAAAGTTAAGCTCTTCTACAGTAGATTTCACTGGTTGGAAAGTCAGAAGCATGATTACATTCTCTAATGTTCACAGAAAACAGAAGTTCTTGTCCTTTCCTAACCTGTGTTAACACCGGGATTCTTGTTACCATGTGCACCTGGTTAGCGTGCGGATAACTTGCTAGCTAGAGTGACTGCATTTACTGTACCAAGGCACAGCTATGAGAATAACTGTACAACTGCATGAATTAGCATTTCTAACAGTGCAAATCTCGTATGGCATGTTTCACGTGCAGTAGAGATTCTGTGAGAAAAGCCCCTCTATAATGAGAACGATTGCTTGGGATGCAGGAAATAGTCCTTACCGTGGCTAGCCTTTCAGCGATGGACGCTAGCATCCTTATCGTTAGTTTGATCACTTAAACCTAAATCAGATTTACACTATTTGCAAACCTTGCTTTGTCAATAACTATGGATAGCCGAATCCACTGTACCACAATCAAAAACAATATGGAATCACCAGAGTTCTTCAATAATTTGTAACGTTAGTCTAACCATGCTAATATATTAGCTTGTTAGCCATGTTGTCGTCAGCTAGCTAAGCGTTAAATAGGCAGATACCATGGTAGGAACAGCTAAATTAAACGCCCGGCTTATGTAGTTCTTACATAGCTAGGTGTTGTTTATGTACGCTTACCGTTAACCAGCAGATTTGGATGAATATATGTCCAGCTTTTTCCGACTCAAAGTTGGGCGTGTTGGATTTTGTATGGGTATCGAACCAAAACAAATGTTAGTTGGTGTTAAACCTCATTCAATGAAACCAGATGTGATGATACCTCCTTATGAAGTTTGATATGTTTAGGTCTTCCGGTTTAGAGAAAAAAAAAACAAATACTTAAAAGAAACGATGTACTTGAAATAGATACTTGAGAAATAGAAACATGGGACGCGCCAAACGGTATAACTGTAAATTTTTTGCTCCTGTGAGCTGCAAGTCTGTCGCGCAGCAATGGCGTCATACAACGTATGTTCAAGCCAAAGGTAGATTTTTAGTTTTGAACCCCAATTTCATTCAATTGGAAAACCCTTTTGCTACGAAATAAATTTATAATCACAATCAAGTAATGCAATTAGCCTCAAATGACTCGAATTAAATGAAGTGACATTATCATCTTCAGATTTTATTACAGACACAGGGATTGGGCATCTAGATAATACAAAAGGAGAAGCTTTATCTTGCCTCACACATGGATCCTGGAATGCTTAAGCAATAACCATGTCTCAGAATAAAAAAAAAAATGCCTATAAGAGCATAGAGATTTCAACAGAAATACAAGTGTGCTGTTATATATCATCAATTTAAATGCTCAGTCTGACAGTCTACACACACACACACATATATATATATATATATAAGTCCCACATCCTCCACATGTAACCCCCTCTCACTGGGATTACTTGTGTAGTAGCATTCTCCCCTCTTGTCCATGAATGTCTTGTTCCAGTAGCCCACTTCTCAATAGGTTGCCCTGGTTCCTTAACACCGGACACGGACCTTGTTGACCCGGGCGACGTCCGAGCCAGTGTGACTCTTATTTTTCCAACTCTCATTACAGATGAGGTAGGCAGATAGCAGAAACAACAAAGATCCATTAATACATCAGGAAGATGGCCCCGAGTGATGACATGCTTAGTGAACACCTCAGGCAGCAGAAACCAGAGAAACTAGGGAAGGAAGAGCAGGAACCCTCATGGAAGGACAAACCTCTGCATGGTATGTACCACTGTCAAATAGTAGAAGTGGCTGATATCGAAAAATCCTACCAGTGGCTGGACAAAGCTGGACTAAAAGACAGCACAGAGGCACTAATCCTGGCAGCACAAGAACAAGCACTAAGTACAAGATCAATAGAGGCAGGGGTCTACCATATCAGACAGGACCCCAGGTGCAGGCTGTGCAAAGATGCCCCTGAGACAATCCAGCACATAACAGCGAGGTGCAAGATGCTAGCAGGCAGGGTATACATGAAATGTCATAACCAAGTGGCTGGCATAGTGTACAGAAACATCTGTGCTAAGTACAGGCTAGAAGTCCCAAAGTCAAAATAGGATACACCTCCAAAGGTGGTTGAGAATGACCAAGCTAAGATCCCGTGGGACTTCAAGATACAAACTGACAAACTGGTAATGGCCAACCAACCGGAAATAGTAGTGGTGGACAAACAGAAGAAGAGGGCTGTAGTGATAGATGTAGCAATCCCAAGCAATAGCAAAATCAGGAAGGTAATAGGAACATTGGGGGCTGTGACCCCCAAACTGGGAGAGTGGCTCCCACAAATCCCAGGGACAACATCTGAGATATCTGTCCAGAAGAGTGCAGTCCTAGGAACAGCTAAGATACTGCACAGGACCTTCAAGTTCCCAGGCCTCTGGTAGAGGACCCAAGCTTGAAGGAAGGAATACAAGACCGCCCCAAAGTGGGGGCGAGTGTGGAATTTATTTTATTATTATATAGCCTACATGCTTTTCTTTGCTTTTTTGTCTGTCATAATTATTAATTCTGGTGTGTGTGACAATCAACGCTTGAAGTGTTTAAGCTGCAAATATACTTGGCTGTATTCCATCACAATATAAAATAATGGCTGTTGCATATGCTTTAGTTGGACATGGATTTATAGGAAAGGGATGCTTGTAAACACAAAGGTGGTGAGCTTGCTATGTAATTGTGAGCATGTTATTAAAAAATAACGTGAGAAAGGACTTGGTGGAGTTCAGCTTTCTGGCACTCATCCATTTGTCCAGTGTCTTTATCTTTTCTATGTATAGCTGAGAAAGTATAAAGAGCAGGAAAAGGATCAGATTTATGAGAAATGAAACTCCCTGCCCTAGAGATGACATCTCCAGTGATTATCATTTACGAAGGACCACTCCACAGCTGGATCACCTGTCAGTGCTGGAACACTAAGACATCCAGAATGAAGCACAAAACAACTTTAAATCTATATTGCCTTTATAAATCAATTCCTTCCATCTCATTCAGGCCAAACTGACATTAACCCTGGCTTTTGTTCTTTCTTTGCCCCACTCTCTCTGCACAAAAGACTGAGACCTCTTCAGTCTGGAGCTCCTCCATGACTACTCTACTACTTGCAGTTCAAAAAACACATCTTATGACCCTAGCTAGATGGCAATCAGGGCTTACGTATGGACCATACTTTGACAACTCAGGGTAGAGGAGCTGGAATAACAACAGAATGACTATAGGCAACAGAGTGTCATGAACAGGTTTAATAAAGATGAGAGGTACCACATTCTTTCCCATTTCCACTGCATTTACAGTATCAGACATTGTGCAAAATCATAGTTAATGCTTTTTTAATGTCATGGATGAAAAGGATGCTAACCATTTTGTGTTGTCCTGTTTGTCTCCTCCAGCTGTTCCCTTTGCAGATGACCCCAGTCAGTTACCTCCAAAGGACAGAGGTCAACAGTAGCAGTGGGCGTAGAGGTGGTTTCAGAGGAGAGCATTAAGACCTGAGGCCAGCTGTAGACGCTGAGTCAGAGCAGAGAGTGAGAGGGACAGCAGGTATCAGGTAGTGACCGGGAGGTAGAGACACAGCTTCCTGCAGTTGTGTCAGGTAGCTGCATTATGTGCTTATACCTCAGGGGCAAATTATTGCAAGTTTTTAGTTATTTATCAGTGAATATTTGTATATAAACATGCTACCTTCTGACAAATCTCATGTTTGCATTTTCTGTGTTAATAGTTATTGTCTCATTGCTGTGAACTTTTTAGGATTAAATATGCATTTCT